AGGTCTAAAATGCACAGTATTGAGCGAATGACCTAACTGGTAAATAAAACGAGAGAGACTGTGGACGAGTATTTTGGTTCCCAAAGCACGCTGGGTCCAAGTTTTCGGGACCCATAAGTCCTTTCGGTCATTGTACCGTTACAGTCTCTAAGCGTGGAGACGGAACGGACGAGCGAGAGACTGCGTAAGAGTCTAGAACTTTTCTTACTTCTGCTGGTCCTCCTGCCTTTCTTGTGAGGTGAAGATTTATTTTCAAGCTCTTTAAAAGATTATTTTTGTGGTTTTTTCACAGTGTTCATCGCTATCGTAGATTTGCATTTTAGACTAGAAGCAGGTTTGTCCCCTCGTCTGTATCACCCGCGAAATTTACCGGAAACAAAAGTAATATTTTTGTCCGAGTGGGTGTGGAAATCAATTCGTTTCTAAGCAACCGTCATCCATGGTATCAAAACCAGAGACACGATTTCCGCAGAGTCTACTTTCCTTCTCTCGCCCGTAGAGGAGGTAGAAGGAGACTCTAATACTCGCAAGCCCGCATGGTAGAAAAAAATCGAGTTCCTTAAAAAAATTGATTTAAATAAATGTCATTCCATTTTGGACCTTGGGAAATGCGATTTTCCGTGCCGTCCAAGTACTCCTACAGGATTTGATTTAAAGTAAAGGTAAGGCGTTTGATTCAGTTAGGTTTTTTTTTTTTTTGGTTTTTGTTTTTGTTCTTCCTTTTTTTCTTTATTTTTTAACTAAATGTTTTAAAAGGGATTAAAGATAGCCTTTCGCTGTTACTCTCTGAAATATATGTATGTATGTATGTATGTACGTACGTACGTACGTACGTATGTATATAATAGTACTATAGAGGCACTTTTTTTCATTCCTTCCTTCGTTTGTTAGCTTATACCTTTGTGATTTTATGAAGCATCATTTTTAAATGATAATATCTTTGCATATTTGTGATGCTTCGTAAAATCAGTAAAATCACAAAGGTATGAGCTAACAAACTAAGAAAGAAGGGAGGAAGAAACTAATAAATGAATAAAGGAAGGAATAATTTTTCACAATTACATTGGTTAAGCATTCGGGGGTCTTAACTTTCTGACAAAAGTTCTATTTCACTTTTTTTTTCTTTAATCTTTCATTTTTCTTTTCTAATAAAAAAGTGTACTGAGTAATCTAGATCAATTAAACTCGCTATAGCAAAATAAGTCGGTTTAAAAGTTTTTCCCATTTTGCTGGATCACTACATGACATAGTTGGGGGTGTTGTTGTTATTAATTTCACTTTGCTTTGGTTTAACATAACAAATTGAAGAAAGCTTCTTCCATCCCATGAATCTCGCTCTGTCTCTAAAGCTTAAAGTTGATTCCATTTTTATTTTGATAACGGAAAAAACAATTGGCAAAAATTCAGTCTATATTGTTAGGAAGTTTCTATGAAATATTTATTACAGCGATTCTCCAGTTTTCATCAAATTTAATTAGTTTCATACATTTCACTTTGCTTTTGCTCTTAGCACAAAAAAACAGCGAAACAGCGTGTTTTTGTCCCAAGAATATTTCACTTTGCTTTTGCTCTTAGCACAAAAAAAACAGCGAAACAGCGTTTTTTTGTCCCAAGAATATTCGGCTATGTCTCCAAAGCTCAAGCTGTGTTGGCACTTGTGACCTATTAGTATATAAAAAGATTAACAACGTGTGGTTTTGCGTTGTAATGAACAAACAAAATTTGTACTACAAACAAGACCCAAGCTTAAAAAACCTTGGAACACAGCTATTTCCTTCAAGAAACTTTGAAATAGTTCAGTTTGAAGCGCCAGAAATTTTTTAATAACGTAGTTTCGTCCAAGATTCACACATATTTAGTTAACGCTGTAAGGTCGTACAAGCTCATTTGCAATGTTGTCATTGACATGGCATGTGGTAGAGGTGGAAGGCTAAAACTCTTTCAAGAAGTAGAAGTATTGGGAGAACTTGTGTTTATGGACATTTCACAAGCGTCCATTGAAGAGCTAAAGGCAAGGTTGGTAACATTTGGCAAGGAATTTAAGTCAAAAACCGCCAACTTTTCATTTTACATTGGTGATTTTACCAAAAAAGAAGACGTCGAACTTCTTTTGCAAAAAAAAAGAAAAAACGCTGTTTTTAATTCTTTAGGGGCAGACTTTGTTTACATGATATATGCGATTCACTACATGTTCAAAGACGCTGAAAGTTTTGAGCAATTTATGAAATTATTAAATTCTTGTTCAAAACCAGGTACCATCTTTGTTACTAATGTCATTTTGGCAGACAAAGCCGCAGCTTTAAATTTGTCAAAATTCAAACTAATCCCTATTTCACCACAAAATAAGAGCATTGCTTTTTCTAATTTTGGCAAAGTCAGCATACCCTTTGGTAGCTTAAACAAAGGCAATAAAGACGACAACAATACCGACAAACTGACTTATTCCACAGAACCGATAATTTACGAGGAACCGTTCTTAAAAGAAATGTCTCAAAAAAAATGGGCATTGACGCACAAAGAATCAATGCGCAAAGTAAGAGGATTCAAAAAATTGACAGATGCCGAAGAGGTTGCATGGATCAAGTGCCATTATATNCACTTGTGACCTATTAGTATATAAAAAGAAAAACGTGTGGTTTTGCGTTGTAATGAACAAACAAAATTTGCACAAATTGTACTACAAACAAGACCCAAGCTTAAAAAACCTTGGAACACAGCTATTTCCTTCAAGAAACTTTGAAATAGTTCAGTTTGAAGCGCCAGAAATTTTTTAATAACGTAGTTTCGTCCAAGATTCACACATATTTAGTTAACGCTGTAAGGTCGTACAAGCTCATTTGCAATGTTGTCATTGACATGGCATGTGGTAGAGGTGGAAGGCTAAAACTCTTTCAAGAAGTAGAAGTATTGGGAGAACTTGTGTTTATGGACATTTCACAAGCGTCCATTGAAGAGCTAAAGGCAAGGTTGGTAACATTTGGCAAGGAATTTAAGTCAAAAACCGCCAACTTTTCATTTTACATTGGTGATTTTACCAAAAAAGAAGACGTCGAACTTCTTTTGCAAAAAAAAAGAAAAAACGCTGTTTTTAATTCTTTAGGGGCAGACTTTGTTTACATGATATATGCGATTCACTACATGTTCAAAGACGCTGAAAGTTTTGAGCAATTTATGAAATTATTAAATTCTTGTTCAAAACCAGGTACCATCTTTGTTACTAATGTCATTTTGGCAGACAAAGCCGCAGCTTTAAATTTGTCAAAATTCAAACTAATCCCTATTTCACCACAAAATAAGAGCATTGCTTTTTCTAATTTTGGCAAAGTCAGCATACCCTTTGGYAGCTTAAACAAAGGCAATAAAGACGACAACAATACCGACAAACTGACTTATTCCACAGAACCGATAATTTACGAGGAAYCGTTCTTAAAAGAAATGTCTCAAAAAAAATGGGCATTGACGCACAAAGAATCAATGCGCAAAGTAAGAGGATTCAAAAAATTGACAGATGCCGAAGAGGTTGCATGGATCAAGTGCCATTATATATATACCTTTAAGAAAATTTAAATTATCGTACTGCAAAAAAAAAAAAAGATCAAACGATCTTTTTATTAATCAAACTTTTTTTTAAAAAACTATCCAAATTGAAGCTTTTTTTTTTACTAAACTACTGTTGCGTAACTTTCTGTTTAACCTGTTTAAAAGAACTGTGCTGCTTCAGAACGAGTCTTGTATTTACTTTTGTTCTTTGGTACTTGTTGGTTTGTGATTTGGGTACCATTCACCGACTTGTTAACCTCAGAGGTTTTTGAAAAATAAATGGAACCTTTTTGTGTTTCAAGCGAGTTAATCAGACTGTTGAGTTTGGTGAAGAGTTCTTGACTTACTTCCTCAGTAACTGGATCATTTTGCATTACGTACTTTATCAGCTGAACTGCACTGTAGGTGCCGAATTTCACGATTTTCATCAAATTTCTTTGGTTGAAGCCCCATCTGTATCGAACATKTTCGACAAGGTTGAATTACAAACCATTAAAGAGTCATCATTCTTCAGCTCTCGCATGCCACATTGGTTATATGCTGAGGACATGCTTTTAATAAATGCGTCAAACCGAGCATCTCCTTCATCTTCACTGAGTTGGACTTGTGGTTGGGCAAAAGTAACCC